CCGAGAAAAAAATCACCCGAAGGGCTCCGCTGACTTTTTTCTAGTTGACTTTTCGAACCCTGATAGCGGGCGCTGCCTTCTGCTAGGGAACTGTTTGGGGGCCTCTCGGGGTTCCTTTTCGGCCTCCTGGGGGCCTCTTGGGACCCTTTTGGGCCGTCTTGCGGCCTCCTGGGGTCCTCTTGGGGCCCTCTTAGGCCGCCTTGGGTGCCTCTCGGGGCCGTCTTAGGTCGTCTGGGGGCCGTCTAGAGGCCCTCTGGGGCTTTGTACTTCACCGATCGCTCTTTTAATGGGCGTCTCTGGGCCTGCTTGGTGGTCCTTGTGCAGGTCTTCTTCGGGCCATTCTGAAGCTTTTGTGGGCTGCTCTGGCAGTCTCGCGCCGTCTTGGGGTCCTCCTGGCAGCCTCCTGAGGCGTCTTGTGACGATCTTGAGGGCCTGCGTGGCCGTCTTGGACGCTTCGACGACGAAGGGAACTCCCGAAATGCACGTTTCCCCTAGGATTGGGACGATTTGCCCTTGTTCGGGCTCTCCTGGGGCTCTCTCTGGAGCCCACTTGGAGCATTTTGGGGGCTTCTTGGGCCGTAGGGCGGCTGTCTTGGGCGTCTTCGAGCGCTCGGGGCCCGTCTCGGAGGCCCTCTTGGACCGTCTTCGGGCCCTCTTGGGGGCCTCCGGGGATGGCTCGGAGCGCTCTTCAGGCATCCTGGAAGCGCGCCGGGGCACTGGGGCCGCGCCGGTGGCCGTCGGAGGGGGCCGGTCCGCTGCCGCTGACTGATCGACCCTTTGGCGAGCGGTGAACGCTGCATTATATTTGGACGCCCGAAATGGGTACGGAAGAATGGGTACAATGCCCAACAACAACTGTTGTCCCAAACCAACAGCGGCCGCTGTTGGACGGGCGGCCTTCTGTCTCGAATGGACACAGGCCGCGGCGGCGTGGACAGCGAATCCTGTTCAAAATGAACAGGAACTGCTCTTTGGCATCGTACCCATTCTTTCAGTACCCATTTCGGGCGTCCAGATTATAGTAGAGATGACGTTGGGCTCCAGCTTCGCCTCCCGCATCTCGCTCAGCAGCGAAAGGGACCGCTGCCACTGATCGCCCTTCTCGCACGCACTGATCCCAGCACTGTAGCTGACTAGGGCTGACCCGTGGCCTACGTCCACTTTCGGGGTGAAGGGGTGCTGCCCAAGGTGAACCCAAATGGCGTCGAACATCTGCCCTATCATGATAGGGCAGGGCCGAGACCCGCGAAGAGACCCCATGAAGCCCCAACGATGGCCTGAAATGAGCGCCGATGGGAGCCAGAGATGGTGGCCCAAAGTGGGCCCAAATGGCATCGAACACTTGCCCTATCATGATCGGGCAGGGCCGAGACCCGCCAAAAGACCCGATGAAGCCCCAAAACTGGCCCGAAATGATCGCCGATAGGAGCCGCAGACGGCCGAAAGTGGACCGACATGGCGTCGAAAACCTACCCCATCATGATGCGGCAGGGCCGAGACCCGCCAAGAGACCTCTGGGGCCTGTTTCAGAGACCTCCCGAAGCTATGACCCCCCCCGAGGCGAGGCGATTTTGGGCCACAGAAGAGCGAAACACGGCATGGCCCCAAGAGGCCGCAGAGAGGGCTCCAGACAGACTTCGAGGGCGAGGGATTATGGGCCAAATCCGGCAGGGAGCGCCAAACAAGCATGAGAGCCCCGTGGTGCGCTGGGAGTTGTTTTGGGACCGTCTGTGGCCATCTCAGGCCGCCTTTGGCTGCTGTTGGTGCTGTCTTCGGTGCTTCTCGGGCCGTGATCTTGGGGCCTTAGGAGCCTCTTAGCGTTTCTTTTCGGCCTCCTGGAAGCCTCCTGGGGCCCTCTTGGGCTGTCTCGGGTGCCCCTTGGGCCGTGTGGATGCGGTCCGGGGCCGTCTGGGGGTTGCCTGGGGCCGTCTTGGGCGTCTCTGGAACAGTCTGGGCACCGTCTGGGGGTCGTCCAGGGCCGTCCTGGGCCGCTCTTGAGGCTGTCTTGAGTACCCCGTGGGCCGCCAGGGGCGCCTCAGGAGCCGTCCTGGGGCCATCTTGGGCCCCTGTATGGCCGTCTTGGACGATATGAAGAAGGCAAGCCCGAGAACTGCCAAAATGTACGTTTTCCGAAAGGAATGGGGTGATTTTTCGGTGTTCGGGCTCTCTTCGGGGCTCGTCGTGGAGCCCACTTGGAACGTTTTGGAAGCCTCTTGGGCCGTCTGGAAGCCGTCTGCGGCGTTGGCGGGGCCGTCTGGAGGTTGCCTGGGGTCGCCGCGGGCGTCTCTGTAGCAGTCTGGGCACCGTCTGGGGGTCGTCCAGGGCCGTCCTGGGCCGCTCTTGAGGCTGTCTTGAGTACCCCGTGGGCCGCCAGGGGCGCCTCAGGAGCCGTCCTGGGGCCATCTTGGGCCCCTGTATGGCCGTCTTGGACGATATGAAGAACGCAAGCCCGGGAACTGCCAAAACGCACGTTTCCGGGACGATTTTTCTGTGTTCGGGCTCTCTTCGGGGTTCGTCGTGGAGCCCACTTGGGGCGCTTTGGAAGCCTCTTGGACCGTCTTCGGCCGTCTGGGGGCCCTCTTGGGGGCCTCCTCGTGCGTCTCGGAACGCTCTTGGGCCATCTTGGAAGCGCGCCGAGGACTGCTGGGGCTCGCAGGGGCCGCTGGAGAGGGCCGGTCCGCTGCCACCGATCGGCACCTCCGCGAGCGCTGGTCCAGCCATTGTAGGAGAGATGACGTCGGGCTCCAGTCTCGCCTCCCACATCTCGCTCAGCAGCGCCAGGGCCCGCTGCCACTGCTCGCCCTTCTCGCACGCACTGATCCCAGCACTGTAGCTGATGACTAGTGCGTACCTGTGGTGTGATCACTGCTATCGACGTTGAGGGGGGCAGTGTTTGTAGGGCGTGCCTGCGACACAGAAGGAATTATGTCTTCTGGTCGCAGTGCTCATCGAGTGTGGGCGAACGACGACGACGTCGGCCGCATCTAACATGTTGTGGGATTGTCTGTCCGGTCGCATGTATGATCGAATGCGGACGATGAGCTCAGGGACTACCCCGGGGCTCCGGGCAGAAATCAGGCGCGCTCCTGGGAGGCTCCAACAGGGCCCCAAGTGCACCCCAAGAGGGCCCAAAAGGAAGTGGCGTCACTCCACTTGCTTTTGGGCTCTCTCGGAATGCACTTCAAGCCGTGATCGAAGCCTCCTTGTGGTCTCGTGGGGCCCGCTCCTGCCCCTACCCCGATGCTGCAGGCGGGACTGAGGCGACGCATGTGAGAGCTCCGAGGGGCCCCAAGTGGGCCCAGAGAGAATCCACAAGCAAGTGGGGTCACTCCACTTGCATGTGGGCTCTCTTGGAATCCACTTGAAGCCGCTCTGAAAGCCCTTCTGGGGCCTCCTGAGGCCTGCTTGGGCCTACCCTGGGGCTTCAGGCGGGTCTTAGGCGGCGCCTTGGAACGCTCCGAGAGGGCCCCAAGTGGGCCCGGGGAGAATCCAAAAGCAAGTGGAGTGACGCCCGCCACTTGCTTGTGGGCCATCTTGGAAGGCTTTTGGAGCTCTCCGGGGGTCTCCCCTTGAAGCCTCTCGGGGCCCTCTCGGAGCTAACCTGGGGCTCCGGACAGAAGTCAGGCGAGCTCCTGGGAGGCTCCAACAGGGCCCATGTGCACCCCCAAGAAGGCCCAAAAGAAAGTGGCGTCACTCCACTTGTGTTTGGGCTCGCTCGGAATGCACTTCAAGCGTCTTCGAAGCCTCCTTGTGGTCTCGTGGGGCCCGCTCCTGCCTACCCTGCGGCTCTGAGGCGTCCCGAGTGGGTCCAGAGAGAATCCACAAGCAAGTGGCGTCACTCCACTTGCTCTTGGAATCCACTTGAAGCCGCTCTGAAAGCCCTTCTGGGGCCTCTTGGGAGATGCTTGGGCATACCCTGGCTCTTCAGGCGGGTCCTCTGGGACCCTCTTGGGCCTCTCTGGGGGGACTTCTCTTGGGGCCCTCCGGGAACGTCTTGGAGCCCTCTTGGAACCGTCTTGGGGCTTTCTTGGGCCATCTTGGGGCGCTCTTGGGAGCCTCCGGGGCCGCCCAGGCACGATCTGGGAAGCCCCTGAGGCCGTCTTGGGCAGCTGAAGCCGGAAAACATTGGAACACGAGAAACAGCGTAAAACTATTTAACAAACAGGAATTCGGCCTCTGGAAGCGCTCCCTGGGAGTCTCTTGGGGCGGTCCTGGGGCGTCATGGGCGCCTCTTGGGCTGTCCGGGGGCCATGTTCGGCAGTCTTACGCCGTCTCCTGCGCCATCGAAGCTTCTCCGAAGGCTACCGAGGCGGCTCCGAGGGCCCGCCCGGAGCGGCCCGGGCGCCTCTTGGGGCCTGCCTGGGCCTACCCTGGAACCTCAGGCGGGACTTCGGCGGCTTCTTGGGGCCCTCCGGGGCCGCCTTGGGGCCCTCTTGGGGCCCTGCGCGGCTGGCTCGGAACCTTCAGGGGCCGGCCTGGGCTGGCTTGGGGGCCTCTCTCTTGGGGCCCTCGGGGGCCGTCTTGGGGCCCTCTTGGGGCCGTCTTGGGGCTTTCTCGGGCCATCTCGGGGCGCTCTTGAAGGAGCCTCCGGGGCCGCCCTGGCACGACCTGGGAGGCCCCTGAGGCCGTCTTGGGCAGCTGAAGCCAGAAAACATTGGAACACGAGAAACAGCGTAAAAACGATTTGAAAAAGGAATTCGGCCTCTGGAAGCGCTCCCTGGGAGTCTCTTGGGGCGGTCCTGGGGCGTCATGGGCGCCTCTTGGGCTGTCAGGGGGCCATGTTCGGCAGTCTTACGCCGTCTCCGGCGCCATCGAAGCTTCTCCGAAGGCTGCCGAGGCGGCTCCGAGGGCCCGCCCAGAGCGGCCCGGGCCCCCCCGGACAGGCCCGGAGGGGACTGGTTCAATGCCACTGCTCGCTCTTTTCGCGCGCGCAGTCCGCGCTCTTGTAGGACAGATCACGTCGGGTTCCAGCTTCGCCCTGCACATCTTGTCGAACAGCATCAGAGCCTGCTGCCACTGCTCGCACTTCTCGCACGCGCTGATCCCGGCGCTGTAGCTGACGAGCACTGTAGTATAGGCTAGTGCGAACCCGCCCGTGGATTGAATCCATGGTTTGCTGACGGGGGACTCGCAAACCGTGTATTCAGTCCACAGACCGACGCGTCGACGAACAGCTCGTGGAGCTCGTGGAGAGGAGGGGGGGACAACAGTGTAGGTGGAGGACCTCGAAGCGCCTAAGCGTGCCGCGGCAGCGACTCCGTGGAGGAGGCAATACGGTGACTTCCTGTCGTGAGGGGCTGTGGTGTTGCTCCTGACGCCGCGTGTAACGCTCAACCCTGCACGATCGGCAGCTTTGAAATCGAGAGATCGTTCACGTCGGCCGATTCTCGACCAGTGTCGGCGTTGAGCCTCCTGGGGTTGAGATGCCGAATGGTGCTTGCCATACCTCTTGTAAGTGTTAAGCAACGTGTTGATTTGCGAGAGAGCGTGATCCACCGCCGCTTAACTGTGGAAAATTGCCCCCCTCTTCCTCCGGAACCCGGGGGTCCTTCCCCCCCCCCCTCCGAAAATCCCCTCCCCCTGCTGGAACCCCCCTCCCCCGGCAAAATCCCCCCCCTCCCCTAACCCCTCCTCCCCCCCCTCCCCCTCGAAAACTGGGGGGGGTCACTACCGGTTCGGAACCCCCTCCCCCCCTCGAAAACCGGAGGGGGGGTCACTACCGGTTCGAACCCCTCCCCCCCCCCCCACTCACCGCCAGCAAACGACTCCCAGTCCCTACCACCGTCCGCGCCACATCCCCCACTGTTGTTCCCAGCACCACTGTCCTCACCACCACTGTCCCCGCTGGTTCCACCACCGTCCCTACTGTCCCCACCAGTGTTCCCACCACTGTCGCAGTGTCCCCACTGTCCCCACCACTGTTCCCACCACGGTTCCACTCTCCCCACTTTCTCCACGGCCCCAACCACTGCCCGACTATCCCCACTGTCCCCACTGTCCCACTGACTCTTCCGCTGTCCCACTGAGCTGTCCCACTGTTCCCACCACTGTCCCCACTGTCCCCACCACTGTCCCCACTGTACCTCTGTCCCATTGTCCCACCGCCGTCCTCGCCACCGCCTTCACCACTGTCCCCACCACCACTGTACCCTCCACTGTCCCACTGTTTCCACCTCCCCCTGTCCCCACACCACTGTCCCCACCACCACCGTCCCCACCACTGTCCACTGTCCCCACTGTTCCCACCATTGTCCTCACCACTGTCCCCACCACTACAGTCCCCACCACTGTCCCACTGTCCCCACCACTGTCCCGCTGTCCCCTCACCACTGTCCCCACCACCACCGTCCCCACCACTGTCCGCACCCCCCCTCGGTTTTCGAGAAGGGGGGGGGGGGTTCGAACCGGTAGTGACCCCCCCCCGGTTTTCGAGGGGGGGGGGTTCGAACCGGTAGTGACCCCCCCCCCCTTTCATGATGAATTGGAGGGGGGGAGGGGGGAGGGGTTCGAACCGGTAGTGACCACCCCCGGTTTTCCGGAGGGGGGGGGTAGTGACCCCCCCCGGTTTTCCGCGCCAGCAGCGGTAGAACACGCTCTTTCTGATTTGCGCTCTTTGGTGTTGTGTAGATGAGTTGTAAGATATGTTGTAGGACATGTTGGAGACATGTGGCCTGCCCATTATTCCGCGCTTCTGATAATTGAGGGAAGCGTTGTTGTCAGAAACGTGGTTGCGGAAAGAGTTGGCCATGACAACATGAGTTGCAGAAAGTGCTGTTGTGAAAAACTGATGTGCGCACTGATACAAGTTGCAGAATTTTCGCATCGCGGGAGAACGAGAACGAGAAACATGAGGAGGAGAGAGAAAGCGGGGGACGTTATGTCACGACGCCCCTAGCACAACCCCCAGCAGTTGCAGCACAATGCCCTCGCACAGATCCCCAGCATCCCCCCCCCCCCCATCACAACCCCCCAGCACGACATCCCCGCACGAACCCCCGGCGCGACCTTCCAGCGAGCAGAGAGAGGGGGGGGGAAGGAGGGGGAGGGAGGGTGAAAAGGGGGAGGTGGCCACGACGCCCAGCACACGCACAGCAAAAGGCCTCAAGCACGACCCCCAGCACAAACCCCCAACCCACAATCCCCCAGCACAGCCCCCCGCACAACCTTCGAGCAGGCCCCCTCCCCCCTCCCTGCTCTCTGTCCCGCAGCCGCCGCCCCAGCTCGAATGCGTTCGCCTCAGGCCGCCCTTGGGGGCGACCTGGGGAGATCTCGGCGGACTGCCGGGGCGGCATGGGACTGCCTGAGGGCCGCCCAGTAAGCGAGCCGAGGCCAGAATGGGCTGAGGATGTTGTGGTCCTCTGAGGCCCTCGTGGGGTCTCGTTGGGTCCTCTGGGGACCTCTCGGAGACCCATGGGGAGAATTTGGAAACAACGCTTCTGGAAATGGGGGCAGTGGTCAAACGGTAAAGGTATTGCTGGGATCTTGACAGTTTGGGCCTCCTTGGGCCCCTCCGCGGACGGTCTGCGGGCCTCCCAGAGCTACCCTGAGCCGCTTCGGGACCCTCGGGGGACGCTCTTGAGAGATCCGTGGGTCTCAAGGAGTGGGCCCCGGGAGCGGGTCTGAGGGCGTGGGGTCCCAACCAATGATCCCACTCCCTGGGACGCGCTTCGACCAGAAGTGTAATACGAACGACGTCGGGCTCCCATTTCACCTCACACATCTCGCTGAGCAGTCCCAAAGCCCGCTGCCACTGCGCGCCCTTCTCGCAAGCGCTGATGCCAGCGCTGTAGCTCATGACGTCGGGCTCCAGTCTCGCATGCCACATCTCGCTGAGCAGCGCATTAGCCCGCTGCCACTGCTCAGCCTTCGCGCACACGCTGATGCCAGCATTATAGATGATGACGTCGGGCTCCAATTTCGCCTCCCACATCTCGCTGAGCAGCGCCAAAGCAGGCTGCCACTGCCCACTCTTCTCGCAAGCGCTGATCCCAGAGCTGTAACTGATGACGTCGGGCTCCAGTGTCGCCCCGCACATTTCGCTGAGCAGCGCCAGCGCCCGCTGCCACTGCTCGCCCTTCTTGCACGCGCTGATCCCAGCATTATAGCTGACTAGGGCTGACCCGCGGCCTTCAGGCCGCGGAATTTGCCCGCCATGGCTTGGACGTGGAAGTGGGGCGTCTCTGGGGCCTCGCGGGTAAGGGGAGGTTTGAGGGGACGGCGTGGATGGAGGAGGTGGCCGCTGGAGGGGGAGGTGGGCAAGGGATGCAGGCAAGTAGGCCTGAAGGCAGGAACGCGGTGGTGGAGGCGGTGTCAGTGGAAGCGCACTCATGTAGGCATGACATGGTGCGGACAGAAGCTGTTTCTGACGCCGCAGTCTGCGTTCATCATCATAGCTTCTGCGGGGAGGGTAGCCGTGAGAAGTTATCTGCTTTTCGCCAGGGCCGAATGATAATTTTATCTGGTAGTGTGGTGGCAATGGGGCCAGTGGGCGCGGCATAGGAGGCCCGCAGGAGGGCGGCGAGACGGAACTCGGGCCCCAGTGCGAGGACACGAATCGACCTTTCGAGCGCACCGCCCCAAGACATTCCCAAATGGCGCAGTCGCATAGGGTCCAAGAAGCCCCCATGACAGTACTGGAAGTTCGACGCTCCCCAAGAGAGAAGTATCCAAGGCCTCTTGGGGGCCGCTTGGGGGCCTCTTTTCGTCCTCCTGGGGGTCTCTTGGAGCCCTCTTGGGCAATCTTGAGTGCGTCTTGGGCCGTCTTGGGGCGATGTGGGGCCGTCTTGGGCGCCTCTCGGCATCTTGGGACAGTCTTGGAGCTATCTTGGGAAAATATTATTGGGCGCTCTTGGGGCTGTCTTTGGTATTCCTTGAGCCGTCTCTGGCGCCTCTGGAGCAGTCCCGGACGGCTCAGAGACCGTCTTGGAGTCTGTCCAACCGGAAAGGCTTGGAGACGGGGCGGTGGGGGCCTCTACAGCCGTCTTGGAGACGGGACGGTGGGGCCGTCTTGGGCCATTATTAACTGCTCTTGGGGCTGTCTTGGGTGCGCCTTGGGCCGTCTCTCGGGCGCCTCTGGAGCCGTTCCGGGGCCGTGTGCGGCCGTCTGGGTACCCTCCTGGAGGCGTCTAGGCGCGTCTTGGGGCGAGCTTTGGGGCCTATATGGCCGTCTTGGACGTGCGAGGACGAACAAGAAAGATAGATTGAAAATGTACGCTCCTCGTCGGGACTGACGATTTGGGCCTCTTGGGGCTCTCCTGGAGGCCCTCCTGGGCCGTCTTGGGAGCCTCCTGGCCTGCCTTGGGCCTCTGGGGCTGTCTTGAGGCTTTCAAGGGTGCTCTGAGGACGTCTTGGCGCCCCGTGGAGCCTCTCGGAGCCGTCCTGTTGGCCATTCTTGGCTGCTGTTGGGGCTGTCTTGGTGCGTCCTGGGCCGTCTCGGGCGCCTCTGGAGCCGTCCCGGGGCCGTGTGGTGCCCTGGAGGGGCCTCTGGGCGCGTCTCGGGCCAAGGTGGGGGGCCTGTAGAGCCGCCTTGGACGCTGTGAGGATGAAAAAACGGAGCATCATGAAAATGTGCGTTTCCCGTCGGCAATGCGACGATTTGGGCCTCTTGTGGCTCTCCTGGAGGCCCTCCTGGGCCGATTTGGGAGCCTCCTGGCGTGCCTTGGGGGCCTTTAAGGCTGTCTTGGGGCTCCCAAGGGTGCTCTGAGGCCGTCTTGGCGCCCCTGGAGCCTCTCGGAGCCATCCCAAGGCTGTTTTTGGGGCATCTGCGCCCCGGAGGGTGCCCCGGAGGGCCTGGCGGACCTTTCAAGACAGAGGACCTTCTGGCACGCAAAGATCGCTGCATTGTAGAAGAGATGACGTTGGGCTCCAGTCTCGCCTCCCACACCTCGCTGAGCAGCGCCAAAGCAGGCTGCCACTGCCCGCTCTTCTCGCAAGCGCTGATCCCAGAGCTGTAACTGATGACGTCGGTCTCCAACATCGCCCCGCACATTTCGCTGAGCAGCGCCAACGCCCGCTGCCACTGCTCGCCCTTCTCGCAGGCGCTGATCCCAGCATTGCAGCTGATGATGTTGGGCTCCAATTTCGCCTCCCACATCTCGCTCAGCAGCGCCAGGGCCCGCTGCCATTGCTTGCCCTTCTCGCACGCACTGATCCCAGCACTGTAGCTGATGACGTCGGGCTTCAGATTCGTCTCCCACATCTCGCTGAGCAACGCTAAAGCTTGCCGCCACTGTCCGCCCTTCCCGCACGCGCTGATCCCAATATTGCTGCTGACTATGCTTGACCCGTGGACGAAGCCTGCACACATTGGCATGTGATGGTGGGCATGCAGCCGACCGGCTGAATTCATAACACGGGGCTCGAACTTCGTATTCCGCGCATTCTCCTGCGTGGTGCTGCTTGCTGCCGCTTTTGCGTGCTGTTGCGTGCTGTTGGTAGTGCTTGCCGCAGCTGCGTGCTGTTGACGCCTGTGGCTGCAGGGTGCAGCTGATGACCAATTCTGTTCGGTGCGTGCTGCTGCCCGCTGACTGCTGCTGTTTACTGTTGCAAGGTGCTGCTGCAGCTGCTGCTGCTGCTGCCCGCGTCGTGCTGCTGCCGTTCGCTGCTGCTCCTCGATGCTGCACGGTGCTGCTTCTCGCTGTGCCAGCTTGCTCAGGCAATCTGCTGCTGGGAGGGGGCCGAGGAACGAGGAATCAAGATCGAGGGCATCGAGGAGATCGAGGAGAGATGAGAGCGATACGCGATGAGCGATTAGCGAAGAGCGAGAGGCGAGAAGGGAGGAGCGTTTGCGGAGGAGAGTGGCGAGGAGTAAGGAGTCGGGAGGGACCTCTCGGTGGTCTCTTGGGGGCTTGTGAGGGGAGGGCCCCCCAGGATATCTCTCGGGGGTCTCCTGGGGCCTTCTTTAGGGCTTCTTGGGCTTGCACGGGGCCCTCCCCAGCCTCCTAGAGCAATCTGGGCGGCCCTTGGGACAACTAGGAGCTCTTCTAGGGAGGTTCCGGGGATGTTGCGGGCTTGCACCTTGGGGCCACCTTGGGGAATTCCCGAGCGGTCTTGGGCCCGTCTTGGGAGCCGTCTTGGCGGCCTCTTGGACCGTCTTGGGAGCCACTTGGGCCGGCTTAGAGCCCTGTTCGGCCGTCTTAGGGCCCTTTTGGGCTGGCTTGGGTCCATCTTGGAGGCCTCGTGGGCGTCGCGAGGCCCGAAACAACAAGTACTCGAACACTTCCAAATTCTTGGCACTAAAATCTAATGTGTTTGCTCCTTGTGGCTCTTTGGGGGACCTCTTGGCGCTGATGTAGGCATATTGGGCTGTCTTGGGGCGCCCTTGGGCATCCAGGGGCTCTCTTGGGCCGCCTTGGAGCCTCTGTGGGCCATCTGGGCCCTCTCTCGGACAGTCTTGGGGCCCTCTTGGGACCATTTTGGGTTGCCTTAGATCGTCCTATGGTCACCCTAAGCGTGCCAGGGAACGCCACGTCGATTTTCCCTCACCCGAGAGAGCACCCTTCTGACACGCGCTGCCCCCGGCATCATAATAGATGGTTACATCCGGCTCCATCTTCGACTCGCACATCTCGCTGAGCAGCGACAATGCCCCTTGCCATTGCCCGCACTTTCTGCAGACATTGGCAATCGTGATGTAGTGGCCTTTGGAGGGTTCCAAACCTGATTGAATTCCTTCGTGAAGCAATTGCAGTGCTGCGCTCCATTGCACAGTCCGGCCAAACTGCTTGACTGCCGCTTGGAAAACATTCTCTCCTTCTCGACACCCCCGCTGGACACCTAATATCATCAGAGGTACGGGTACACAATGGCTTGAGCAATTTTTGGCTTTGGCTCGAGCCGACCTCCTCCTCCTCCTCCTCCTCCTCAGCCTCCTTCTCCTCCTCCTCCTAAGCCTCCACGCTTCTCCCTCCTCCTCCTCCTCCTCCTCCTCCATCTGCCCTCCTCTTCCTCCTCGTCCTCGTCCTCGTCGTCGTCTTACTCCACCTCTTCCTCCTCCTCCTCCTCCTCCTCCTCCTCCTCTTCCTCCTCCTCACCAATGCTTCGTGTGCGAGAGTATCTTCGAATCTCGAAACTCGGCCTACAAGCATGCTTGTCAAAGTTTCAAGACGGGAGCGTGTGCTTACCGCATAGACCACCCTTCGGGTGATAAGGAGGTGAGGGGGTGGGGAGGGACCAACGTCGCACTCGATTGATCTCACTATCGAATTCACTACCGATCTCACAATCGATCTCAATCGATAGATCTCACAATCGATCTGACTATCGATCTCACAATCAATCTCACAATCGATCCCACAATCGATCTCACATTCGGTCTCGCTATTGATCTCACAATCGATATCACAATCGATCTCGCATTCGATCTGACTATCGATCTCACTATCAAACTCACTATCGATCTCATTATCGATCTCACATTCGGTCTCACTATCGATCTCACTATCGATATCACAATCGATCTCACAATCGATCTCGCATTCGGCCTCACTATCGATCTCTCTATCGAACTCACTTTCTATCTCATTATCGATCTCACTATCGAACTTACTATCGATATCACAACCGAACTCACAACCGATCTCACATTCGGTCTCATCATCGATCTCACTATCGAAATCACTACCGATCTCATTACCGATAGTGATCTCACTACTAATTCAATCGATCGATCTCACAATCGATGTGACTATCGATCTCACAATAGATTCCACAATCGATCTCACATTCGGTCTCACTATCGATCTCACTATCGATATCACAATCGATCTCACAATCGATATCCCATTCGGTCTCACAATCGATCTCACTATCGATCTCATTATCGATCTCACATTCGGTATCACAATCGATCTCACAATCGATCTCACCAGCGATCTGACATTCGATCTCACGTTCGATCTCACAATCGATATCACTACCGATCTCACTATCGATCATCAAAACAAAACATCAACATCGACATCATCATCACCATCATCATCAATATCATCACCATAATCGGGACACCGACGGGGCACCGGCGGGACACCGCGGGCCCCCGGTTGCCCGGAAGGGGGTCATTTGGTCCGGCCGCGCCTCAGCCACAGACACCGACGGGACACCAGCGGGACACCGGCGGGACACCGCGGGCCCCTGGCCGCCCGGAAGGGAGTCATTTGGTCCGGCCGCGCCTCAGCCACACGGGACACCAGCGGGACACCGGCGGGACACCGCGGGCCCCGGCCGCCCGGAAGGGAGACATTTGGTCCGGCCGCGCCTCAGCCACAGGAGACTTTCTCTCGCCCGCCCACGCAGCTTCGCCTCGCCCGCACGGCACGCACGAACACGAAACCGAAATCGATTTCCCGGTAGGGGGGCTCTCCGTTCCACTTCGATCTCACCCCCTCACCTCCGATAACAGAAGTTCGACATTTCAGCCAGCCGAGAGTTCCATCCTCGTATGTCCGTTGTGCGAGGCTCAAGCTGACTCAACTCCCGAATCTCTTCTTCATATTCGACAGCATTTCTCGCTCTTACCAGTGATCGACGATGGAGGAGGCAGCGGACAACCCAGACTGGTTCATGAAGCCGACAGGCAAGAGAGGAGCGGACGGCAACGGCGAGCAGAAGGACTCCAAGCTAGCCAAGCTTCAGGAGGAGGTGCTCAGCAGCAAGGACGGAGCGGGCTCGGCGCTCGCAGCACTCATCACCATCCTGTGCCGCCTCGCCCTGCACAAGAGCCGAGAGTTAGCGGAGCTCATCGGCGCATGTTTCGTTTGCTATTTGGTCCCGCCAACGGCGGGCATCATCAAGATTGTGCAGACGGCGGGGCAGGTTTACAATGCCAAGTGCAAGGAAAAGGGCAACGATCATGGACTGGGCCCACCGTGGCCACACGTGTTCTTCGGAATGTTATTCTACCTGGTCAAGGAAGCCAGCGACGTCCCCGCCAAATCCAAAGCGACACTGACGAGGCACTGGAACACAGTGGTGGCCCTTCCAGAGAAGACAGCGCTCCGCAGAGTCCAAGAGCACGTGAGGTTTCTGCGTCTTCGGGCTTGCCACTACGACAAGAAACAGCACACGGAGCCGCAGATGTACAAGTTCCAGTTCATGGTGGCCCCAGCTCAGCAGACCCTCGTGATGCGAGAAGCGGACAACACAGAGTTGCTCACCCTGCACGATGCGATTTCGCAGGCGGTGGAGGCCCAGGGGGGCACGTTCAAACCAGGATCGGCGCCGAGAGGAGCAATGGAGAGAGATGCGGAGAAGTTGCTGAATCGCATCGGCCTGTCGAACGAGGCCGTCCAGAAGCAGGTTCACAAGAAATAGCTCAACTTGTTACAATCAGTGGATCCGAGCGGATGCTCGAGCTATTGCAAAAAGGACTTCTGAATGATGAGGCGCTCGCCAAGCTGCAAGCTAAATCCGCCAGGCCCATTTTAGAGTATCAAGCGGGCAGTAGAAAGTTTTACCTGTTTCATCAAACTGGAGCCCCAGTGGAGCCTCGCGTTGACATAGTAACTTTGCTTCAGAGGTCCTCCAGGGTTCGTAGAATGAGTGGTGACCTCTCTCTCTCTCTCCTCTGTTGAGCCCCCTTCCCCCTTTCCCCTGCTCGCTCCGCCCCTCCCCCCTCCTTTTGGCGCCTGACCCCCAACAGGCAGCGAATGAAGGTTAGTATTACATTGTAGGATTGCGACCTCTTGACCCGCACCTAGAGCTCTCAGGGGATAAGGTGCCTCTGGAGGGCCTTGGAGGGGTCGCCTTGCCCCTATCTGGTCCCTCCGTAGGCCAGAGGAATCTCCCGCAGGGCCGCTGGTAGGCGCTCACACACAGCGCTCACAGAGCCATTTCCATACTCTCAGTTTAACTGAATTCAGGCCCCCAAGGCCAATACTCAGCAAAACGGTGACCAATTGGCTCGTAAATGCTCTTGTCTTGTCTTGTCCTCCTCCTCCCTCTTCTCCCCATGGTCATGCTCCTCCTCCTCCTTCTCCTCTTCCTCCACCTTGCCGTCTATCCTCCCTCCTGTTCCCTCCTCCTTCTCCTCCTGGACAGCTTTCTCCTCACCATCGCCCCCTCTGAAAGGAGTCACCGCCTTGCCCTCCAAGAGCGTGAGGCAGGCGGGAAGCCAGAACGAGGAGGGAGCGGAGAGCGACGGTGGGGCACTGTGAGGCTGGAGCAACTAAGGAGTCTCCCGGGGGTCTCTTGGGGCCTTCTTCAGGGCCTCTTGGGCTCGCATGGGGCCCTCCCCCGGTCTCCTGGAGCAACCTGGGCGGCCCTCGAGGCCACTGGAAGCTCTTCTGGGGAGGTCCCGGGGGATGCTGGGGTAGGGGCGCCTTAGCGCTGCCCTGGGGCGTTCCCGAGCCGCCTTAGGGCCCGTCTTTGGGAGCAATCTTGGCGGCCTCTCGAGAGACAGGGCGGGAAGGAGGAACTGAGGAGAGAGCAGGGGGCCATGGTGGGGCAGTGGGAGGCTGGAGCAAGTTGTGATCCGACTCTCGAAGCCCGATGGCATTGCATCCATCAAGGATGATCTGGCGAGAGTGCGAGCAGCCTTTTCAGCACATCGGACTGCACTCCAGAAAGGGGGCCGCCAGGCCCCCTTGCCCCTGAACCAAAACGGTTGCAGGAAAAAGGGTGTCAAGGTTCTGGGCTAAGCTCCTAAAGGCCTCTAGAGCTTCTGAGGGCCTCGAAACGCCTCTATATTCACACAAGTAGTGATTGGGACATGTCTATGGCAATATTCCCTCGCTATTCGGTGTTTTGTTCGTGTTTCATCCCGCCAACTTGTACACATGCGTGTTTAGCTGCTGTTTCTTCTGCGAGCTGCCCCACTGTCCTGCGGTGTTGGGCCCTCGCTTTGAAACGACACAGCCGCGCTCCACCTCACCTTCCATCCTCCTCCCCCTCCCCCCGTCCATACCTACCTCTACCTCCCTCGAGTCACCTGTGACACGTTTCGTGGCCCCACAGCTCCACCGAAGGCCCCAGTGGCAGAGTTCGCACGCGTCCCTCCGCCCATCCTGGCACACCCCCCGCACGCTTCGTGGCCCCACAGGGAGCTCCACCGAAGACTCATGTAGCAAGGTTCGCATGCGTATGCGTTCCTTCCGCCCATGCCGGCACACCCCTCACACGATCCGTGGCCCCACGTGGAACTCCACCGATGGCTCCTGTGGCAGGGTCCGCATGGCGATCCGATCCCATTTCGGCGCGCCAACACACGTTTCCTGGCCCCATGAAGAGCTCCATCGAAGGCCCCAGCGGCAGCGCTGGCGTGGCTCGAGCTGCATCCTTTTGTGGCACGCTGCCGACAAGGAGAGAACATATCGTACGCCACCCGTAGCCTGATCGCCCTTGTCCTTCGTAGCACCTGTCTTGCGGTACTCGCAGCTGCATGTGGTTGGGTCCTGCATCAAGCTAAATTGTTGTCCAGCTACCGCAAAACGAATATATGTAAAACTAACCAACACATGCATTGTATGTGTAAGTCGTCCACACACAAATGTACACACAAACCATGTATTCGCCAACTCTCTCCCGACAGAAATGAGAAGTAATTCATCTACGCTTCTCGAACCGACAAGTCTTTCCAGCAAAGACAATGCTTCGATACTATCCACGCGATAATCTATGCGCCTCCGCTACAAAACACACATGTAAGACCTCCGCAGATGTGGCATGTGAAGGGGGGACAACGCATACGCTTTTGCATGCATCTGTTGCAATATGTTTTTCAGAGCGAGGGGGCCGAACGGTCATTCACTGTCCCTCGGGGCTAAAGTGGGGTTCCGCAATGCGGATTGTTGGGCTCCCACTACTGAAGAAGTATTCTTGTTGACCCCCCCCCCTCCGCTGCACAACGTATTTCTTCAATTGAAGTGCCCCTCCCGGCGCTCGCACCCTGTTTTCTCTATCAGGGAAATTCTTCCTCCTCAAACTGTGCGCCCGGCCCCGGGTTGACAACAACAGCGGCTCCCGCTTGATACCTCCTCCAGATTTCCTCCGGTCCCGCGCTCCCGCTCGAGACTTCCCGCTTGAGACTTCCGCTTGATCCCCCCTCCGGTGCACATTTGATTTTTCAATTCAAGTGCCCCTGCCGGCGCTCGCACCTCTCTGAATCAGGGAAAGTCTTGAGGCTCAAACTGTGCCCCTGGCTCGAAATTTACCTCCGCTCCCGCGCTCCCGCTCGAGACTGCCTCGCGACTTCCTCAAGACTCGCGCTCCCGCCAGAGACCTCCGTGCAGTTTCCTCGGGCGCCTCGCTCCTGCCATTCAGGCATCGCGCGTCCGCTGGGCGCCTCCTCGAGTTTGCTTCGGCATCGTGCTTCTCACTGGGAACAGCCTGGCGAATCACGCAGGACTCACGAAGAAATAGATATACCCCCCAAGGAAGGTGTGATGGAAGACGACGAGGGCGGGCATCGAGGGTCCGGCAAATGCACGCTGACTGACAGTCGAGCAGATAAGAGCGAACAATCTTAAAATGATTGTTTTTGTTGTTGTTGTTGTTGCTGCTGCTGTTGTTGTTGTTGTTGTTGTTGTTGTTGTTGTTGTTGTTGTTGAACTTTCACTACGGAAGAATTGTCATTGTTGATCCCCCCCTCCGGTGCACATTGCATGTTTCAATAGTCGTGCCCCTCCGGGCGCTCGCACCCTGTTCTTTATCAGGGAAGGTATTCCTCCTCAAACTGTGCTGTTGGCCCCCGGGTTGCAGCAACAACAGTTCCCGCCTGAGACTTCCTCACAATTTAGCCAGGACCCCCGCTCCAGCCTGAGACGTTCTCGCATTTCATTCAGGAATCGCGCTCTCGCTTGGGGCTTCCTTATACTATATTCGGAATCGCTCTCTCGGCGCTCTGGAGTCGCGCTCTCGTTGAAGACTCGCTTGCAATTTACTAATGAATCGCGCTGTTGCGTTGGAAATTCCCGCAATTTACTCAGGCGCCGCACTCCGGACACTCAGGCACCCAGAAGTCGCGCTCACGCTCAGAACTCCCTCACATATTACTTAGGAATCGGGACCTCGCTGCCCTTCGTGGCCCCGTTGCAACCCTTCCCGTCGCTGCCCTTCGTGGACCCGTTGCAGCCCTTCGTGGCACCCTCGCTGCCCTTCGTGGCCCCGTTGCAGCCCCTCGTGGCACCCTCGCTGCCCTTCGTGGCCCCGTTGCAGCCTGGCCAGGATCCCGCCTCCTGACCTCGGCCAGAAGGGCGTTTTCACCATGCTGGGCCCAAGATGGCCCTGGCAAGGCATGGTGGCGGTGTCTTCCCGAACATCACATCCTCCGACCTCTTGTTTTCCCAACCCTCCCGTGAATCGGATCCTCGTTTTGCATCCGCAACACCGCGGGTCACCTCACCTCACCTCGCTCCCGCTCATCCTCTTCCTGCTCCTCTTTGTCCTCCTTCTCCTCCTCCTCCTTCTCCTCCTCCTCCTGCTCTCCTCCTCCCTTCTCTTCCTCATTTTCCTCTTCCCTCTGACCATCGCTGCAGCTCCGGCTGCTTTTGCTGCGCTGATTTCGGCACGCCCCTCGCGCGGCTCCTGCCTCCATAGGGAGCTTCATCGATGGCCCTGGTGCGCGTGCTCGCATGGCGTCCCCGCGCCCATTTCGGCACACCCCTCACACGTGTCGTGGCCAACAGGGAGCTCAACCTATGGCCTTAGTGGGCGTGCTCGCATGGCGTCCCCGCGTCCATGTCGGCAAACCCCTCCCACTTTTCGTGGCTCACAAGGTGCTCAACATCTGGCCTCAGCGGGCGTACCCCCAAAGCGGCAAAGCGTCCCCGCGCCCGGCTCGGCACACCCCTCACACGTTTCGTGGCCCACAGAGAGCTCCACCGATGGCCTCAGTGCGCTTGCTTGCATGACGTCCATGCGCCCATCGCGGGGCGCCCCTCACACGTTTCGAAACCAACAGGGAGCTGAAGATATGCCCATCAGAGGGCGTACTCGCATGGCGCCCCCACGCCACATTTCGGCGCACTCCTCACACGCTTCGTGCCCCACATGGCGCTCCGCCCATGCCTCAGCGGGCGTGCTCGCATGGCTTCCCCGCGCGCCATTTCGGCGCACCGCTCACGCGCTTCGTGGCCCCATAGTGAGCTCCACCTATGGCCCCAGTGGGCGTGCTCGCATGGCGTGCTTGCGCCAATTTCGGCACACCCCTCACACGCCTCGTGGCTGTACAGGGAGCTCAAACGAACGCTCCAGGGGCTGCGTTTGCACGGCGTCGGACCGCCCCATTTCGGCACACCCCTAGCACTCTTCGTGCTTCCCCCCGTTTGCGGTTCGAGTCGCGGGAAAGCGCGC